GTTTTGTTTTCAAAATAACCATATATGCTAAATGAGACAAATAGTAGGAAGGACAGCATAAATGAAAGAACACAGAATTACTGTAGGTGAAAACAAACTGACATTTAAATCCAATAAGGTCCTTTTGCTAGAATACTTTAATATCCTGAATTTGCTTCCATTTAGGATGGTGGCACAATTCATGGAAACAGAATGAATTCACTAATTAAAAGCAACTTAAAAGTCATAGAATATTTGGCATACTCCAACATAGTTCAGCTTCTTCTGAGCAATTTCATTTTTAGTGGAGCGTTTCTCAACTGGGCTCAAATAAGAAAATATAAGGGTATTTTTTTCAAATAATAAGAACACAAGTAGAAAAATAATGAAATATAAATACTGTAAGACACTCCAAGTATCTGAAAAGACAGAATATAGCAATGTAGAAAGCTCCATTAACAAACAGTAAAATAAAATTTAAAACCCTGTAACATGTAATGGATTGTAGATCTGAGATGGGCATTTCAAACTCAGATAACACCAGAATGTGGTGGACAATATAAAAATCACACAGATGTTTTGCACACGGCAAAGAAACTGTGTATAATGGCATACGTGATTAACGGAAGTCAAAATTAAAAGCAAGACTCAAAAATTACTTATTGTTTAACCCCTGCTTCCTTTGCAAGTTTTCTTGGATTGAAGATATTGCTGTGTTTGGAAATGATGGGCGCCATCCTGTTTGACACAATTCTTACAGCATTAGAATAGAGCATGAAGTGAATTCTCCCTGTGACAACACCACAGAGATTTCACAGTTTTAAATTGAGAAACACTATCGTTGCTAAGAGAGCATACAGTCGATATATTCCATCTAAATTCTATGTTCTGCTAAGCACAAGATTTGAAGTATTTAATTTCTGAATTGGCCTGTGTCTCCCTCTACAGGACAGACATAGAGGATGAAAATTTTTAACTTAGAGGATGAAAATTCTGTGATTAAGTTTATATCTTGTCGAATCATGAAGGTCTCATTAAAACAGATGGATACTTCATTCCCTTTACTTGCTACATTTAAACAGAATTTCTATTTTCTTCACTGACCTTTTTTTTCTCCTTTTTGCGTAGATCAGCAGACAGTTTTTTCTCATTGTGTGCAGCACGAGTAGGATAGAATAGCATAAGCACTGGTCTTTTCTTTTAAAACAAATATTTTTCAGAGTCATTCTGACAAGGGTGATCTGGATATATCTCTGGGATCAGTCTGGGATCTCATTCCTTGTCTGGAGCCCATATATTTACAATTTTTTAAGCTTTACATTGTTGTTGTTCTGTGAGGTGCAAAGACCAACTCTATTTTGTGTATGGAGACTCCATCACTACGGAGAACGGTTGTATTTGAGTGATGAAACCTGGAAAGTCAAAGACTGCTCATCATTACTAGTAGAATTCTAAAGCAATCTGAACTGATGCAAAACCTTAGGTGGATTTTGGCCCTCATTCATGTGTTTTATTCAGTTCCTACATGAAGATATGAACTTCCTTGTTACCCGGAGAAACATATATACCATATGGCTTAAGGGGGCAAGACTATATAGTAGTACCAAAGATGTTGCTTACGTACTTATGATAAGCATGGGGTCATTCACAAGACTAGATATGATTTAGAATACTCTCTCTCTCTCTCTCTCTCTATATATATATATATGTATATATCTATATATTTATATTTATTTTTTTTTCAGGAGGACCTTCAAGGAGCTGGAGGAATTCAAAGTAGAGGCTACTTTTTCTTCAGGGTATGGTTTGTTTATTTATTTATTTATTTATTTATTTATTTATTTATTTATTTATTTATTTTCCGGGCTGAGTATTACCCCCAAAAAAGTAGAGAAAACAGTAGAGTAAGAATTGTTCTTACATTTTTTTTGTAAGAGCTTCTCTCTGTAAGCAATTCCACTAGAATTGTTTGTTTTCTTTGTAAATGATGAGAAATACTCAACCAATGACTTCGGGTACATTTTGTATAGCACAGAATCTGTCGTTGCAAAGTAATAAGAATAGCTGGGCTAGTTTGGGACTTCTTGGTGAAACTGAAGTATCAAAAATATATTAAAAATCAAAAGAGATTAACTACTGATACTTTTTTTGCTATGGTAAATATTAACTGTCTTGGAAAATAAGTATTGCCTCTAAAAGATCCAGAGGAGGATCTTAACGTATTGAACTAATATTCTATCAAAATAAGAACTTCTTAAGTATTTAGAAATTGATTTTTTAGAAGTAAGAGTGCATAACTACTGTACTAAACTGATGAAGGTTTACAGTCTTCCCTGATAATGTAGCGATTGAAATGAGGTTAGACATACCAAGCTGTATGGGGCTTTGCTACTGAAACCACTCAGCTTTATGCAGTGCTTATTGGATATTTGTCTTTCAGCCACGCAACGGAAAGAGATCAGTGGATTTTCGCTAAGGAGGTATTTATTTAATGCTTTTAATCATGACCTATACTGAAATTACGTTATTCTTATACAAATATTCCATGGTACTTATGTTTAGAAGTAGATTTCTGGAGACAAACTTCTAACAGATGTGCTAAATTCACTTGTTTTTGTCTAAAGTGAGTAGAAGCTATAGCTACTCAGTTCCTAGAACAGAGAACGCAGAGGGGTTTTGGGCAGCAAGAAAAGGAAAAGATCCCAGATTTGTAGACAATTTGGAAAGTTACCAATGATGATAGGTGTACATCAGGAAAAACTGATTCAACCTCCTGCCAAATACATAGTGAGAAGTAGCTGATGACCTGGTGGTAAACCTACTGTTCTTACACAGAAGAACTGCTATCACACTGAAATTAGCAAACTTCAAGATTTAATTTCAAATCATGCAACTCTTTGGACAGAAAAAATAATAAATCTGTGCCAATATTATGATATTCTGTTTTGTAATATAGCTTACACCTCTGTCATATTTTAAGTATTTTGTGCAATACCATACCAACAGCTAAAACTTTTTCTTATTTTGCAGGCTTTTAGACTCCTGACCTAGACCTTATGCTGCAGGAATGCCTGGGCATGGTGTTTTCCTTACAGAAATAGTTCCTTACTAATGTACAATTAAAAATCACTACAATGTAAATGTTCTTACATTAGATTCCGTAAAAAATTAAAATGTTTCTTTACTTCCTTGATTACATTAAAAGCATATCAAAATTATTTGTTTCTTAGTGTTATGTTTATAACTGTGTGTAATGAAACTGTAAAATATCTCAATGTATGCATGCAACTGACATTGCCTCTAACAACATTGCTTTGTATGTTTATTTGCCTTTATAAATAAAGGCCCTGAAAGAATTGTTTTAATGAGAATGTTTGCAGTGTAGACTAATGCTTTTTTTCAGAATATTTTGCAAGTGGCTTGCGTAGTCTTTAGAATTACAGATTAATTTATTTTCTTGTATTGTATTTAAGAGGTTCTTTTTTATAATTATGCACACTTATGTAGCCAAAGTGTTACATTTGCATATAATTGTTCTCACATTTATTGGAAACACATCCTTTCGTTATCTTAATATGAGTAAGCTTGGTCATACAAAAAAAGACATACACTAAAGCCAAGCTTTCATTCACCTACTTGATAAAATACTACAGTAAGTGTAGTTCATGTGTTATACTTTTCTCTGCTGTAACAGCACATAATACCACATCACAACAAAATTGAGGGAGCAGAGAATGAAAATCCAGGAGAAAATGCTACACTTCAAAAACAAAAAACAAAAAAACAAAAAAAAAAATCAGCAAAGAAAAATCTATGCGGATAGAACCTTTTCATAAGTGGTTTCTATAAAAGCCAAACAAAAAGTGTGGTTTGCTTTTAAAGATGATGTCCTCTGCCCCTGCACTTCCTTCATGATTGCCTGTGGACTTCTTGCAGCCTGTAGAGCCAAGATAAGTGGTCTACAGGTGGTCTACTGAATAACACTGATGATAAAAGTGTCTGGCAGATCAGAGCATGTCTTAAAGGTAATAGTGCTGAAGTTAGCTGAAAAAAAATGAGAATCTTTATTCTCTTAACTAACGGTAACTGAATAAATGGTATGGTTTGAAGAAATACCTCGACTTTAACTCAACTAAAATAAACTTTTTTTTTTTTTTTTTTTTTTGACCTATTAAAAACACTGATACACTATGCCTCTGATTCAGAAGTCTTAATTGCATTACTTGCATTCTTCCAGATTTAAGATCTATCTGAAAACTCAGCTGGCTCTGATGTAGTCTTAAAGAAGTTCTAGTCAGAAGAGTAAGTTAGCCTCACAGTCTTTCCAGCTTCTTGCTCTGAGTTTGCTTTCACACCAGAGTTGTGATGAAATATTTGAGGGTACAATTATATTGACAATAACTAATAATCCAGTGTAGAAATGGATTGTTGCTTTTAATACAGTACCAGCTGGCCACAGTTTGAAGTGACCTCAGCCCTTGAGCTTGCAAGCATGGGTGCGCAGTTGGGTCAGCTTTTGTGAACTGAGGATCCAGCTTTGTACCAGCTGCCTGCTGTGAGGATGTATTGAAGCTGGGTCATCTTTAAACCGCGCTTCAAGATCTCTTCTACTAGGATGAGGGGTAGCTGGGGTGGGAAGGCTGCCTCATGGGCTGTAGGTCCTGCCTGTCATGGTGGGCAGCACCGAGCCAGCAGTAGACACCATGTAGGCCCAAGTGGCCCAGTGTGGCCGTTAGAACCAGTGGTGGTTCTAACCTGGCCCCAACAGCCGCCGATGGGTCAAGCTAGCAGCCTCCAGGAGGAGAGGCAGGGCGGCAGGGGGAGCCATGCAGGTGGGCACGGTGACCGAGAGCAATGAGAGGGTTGGGGCTGGGGACTGCAGGGGAAATGGGGACGCTGAGGGGTGGTGAGCGGTTGGGCCAGGAGAAGTCCCGGGCGAGCAGTTCCTTTGTGCAGATGCACCTCTGAGTTTCCAGTGGTTAGGAATTAACCCTCAAAAATGCACTTATTAACCCTCAAAAATGCACTTTAAGAATAATAAAAGACTGCGCTTTGTTGAAGTTATCCAGCCAGTGCGTTCCCAAACTTGATACACATACCATTCCTGTCAAAGCTAGTGGTAACAACATTATCATTGGCAACTGTGAGAAGACTTATTTTATTTTATTTTATTTTATTTTATTTTATTTTATTTTATTTTATTTTATTTTATTTTATTTTTTGCTTGGGATTGTGGCCTGCTAGTTGAGTAATACCACTTCATGCCAAGACCAATTTATCCTGGATCATTTTTGCCATTGCGTTGGCTCCTTTGCATTTTTACCTTTATATCTTGGGAAGTTTTTGACACATTTTCATTATTTAATCTGTGCCTATTACTGCAAGCTTGAATGAGTAGCTTAATGCCAAGTTTTGGAATGTTGGCTTAACTCAATTTGTTAAACAAACCATTGTTGAAGGTTTGCTAGTTTCTGGTCTGATCTTGCTTGAGACTGGAGCTGAGGTATTATGAGACACCTATTTCTGGTATGTGTCATTACCATGACCGAGTATTCCTGATCCAATTGATCTAGACTGATTTGTCAATTTAGTTTTGTTCCATAATATCAAAACAGGATCCAAATGAAGATACTGAATGGAATGAGATATTGAGAAAATTTGGAATTCTTCCCCCAAAAGAAAAACCGAAAGATGAAATTGAAGAAATGGTTTTACGTTTGCAGAAGGAAGCAGAAGGCAAGTAAAATTAAAAATATATGCCATTAGTACAACAAGATGATAGCATTGCAAACTGCTGCATATGGCACCATTTTAATTACTGTTAGAATCACAGTATGGTTTGGGTTGGCAGAGACCTTAAAGCCCATCCCGTTCCAATCCCCCACCATGTGCAGGGACACCTCCCAAAAGACCAGGTTGCCCCAAACCCCATCCAGCCTGGCCTTGAACACCTCCAGGGATAGAGCATCCACAGCTCTGGGCAACCTGTGCCAGCACCTCACCACCCTCTGGGTGAAGAATTTCCTCCTAACCTCTCATCTGTATCACTACTCTTTTAGTTTAAAACCATTTACCCTTGTCTTGTCACTGCAGACTCTGGTAAAAAGTCTTTTCCCACCTTTATTGTAATCCCCTGTTACATGCTGAAGGGCTTCCATAAGGTCTCCTTGGAGCCTTTTCATCTTTAGGCTGAACAAACCCAACTATCTCAGCCTTCCTTCGTAAGAGTTGTTCCAAACCTAACAGGTCCTTGGTTTTGCTAACAACTTTGGGTTTTTAAGACTTAGTTTTAACTCAAGTTTTCTAGATCTTTTATCATTCTTTTGCTGTTATCCAGACTCTTATAGATTACTTTGGGCAAACTGGTGTAGCTAAGAGGTGTAGGACAGCATTTGAACCCAGTGCAGGTGTAGTTAGATCCATGGAAACAGTAATGGCAAGTAACTAAGCAAGCAAGTATCTAAGTAACCAAGTATGGTTAAATAGATTCATTTTTTAATTCTCTCTCTTACCAGTTACCCAAAGTTGACTGGTTTCTGAAATCAGTATGTATTTTCCTTGCATTAGTTCCATGTCTGTGTAATAATTTTCATACATTTAAAACATGTGCAGGCACTCCAGAGAACACGAGGTGACTAATTTTGTTTGCTTATTTCTAGTGAAACCATATGAAAGAATGAATCTTAAAGAATTAAAGGAAGCTGAAGATGACTTTGATGAGGCTGATAGGAAGGCTGTTGAAATGTACAGGTATAGTAAGCTATTCCTGGCCAAAATAACAGAGGTGTCACTATTGTACATTCTGAAACATAAACTCAGAATCTTTTGAATAGTAACATCTGCTGACACAACTTATGCTTTTCACCTTCTGCTCTTCTGCTGATAGCACCGATGATACTGTCCTACATCTTCCCAATAGCCAGTGACAAAGAGAGGCAGTTCACACCATACGTTGCTTTGAGGTTTTGTTAGAATCAAATTATTCCCCTTTTAAAATATTAAATTTAGTCTCAAAGCTGCATACTTAAAGGAAAACAGAAGGGGCCACAGTGGAAGCCACTGTTACACATTCTCAGTTCAGCTGTACCATGCTGCCACATGCAGATAAGTGTTGTATATTTGAATTGGTATGTAGTCAACAATTTACACATGTGTCTGTTTGGTTAAACTGTGATCCTCACCCTACCACTCTAAAGATACAGGAGTTAGAGCAGTGCTGATAAATATTCGGAGAAAGGAGTTCTATAGCACATTTTTCCTCTTTTTCAGTGTAACATCTTCTGTATAATATTTTCAGTAGATTTCAAACTGGGAGGAAAATGGAGAGTTGGTCATGGGTATCCTTTACGTATTATATTACAGAAGAACATTAAGGGCAAAACAAAGTCCTGACATACATGGTTCCAACATACATGGCCCCATCTTTGTGAAAGACTCTGAGTTTTTGCAGATGAAGTGCATGCTACCTATAAAAGGACTTTTACTTCAGGACGGCATGCCATTAAAGAACAAAGCTGTATTTCAGTGCTGTACTCAAACTGCTCAGTATTTATAATTGAAAATTAACTAATTAATCCAAGTATTATGAATGAAACACTTCTCTGCCTTTTGGGTAACACTCATTTCTGGTATAGCATGCTTTCTAGACATATTTAAATAAAAATGCAGTATGAAGTTAATTAGAAATTAGAGCTTCATTGTATATGCTGTAATTCTGATAGCTGATAAACTGTGTTTAAAATAAAAGATGTTTAAAGTCAGCTGTGAGCCCCTTATATATAACTATTGTGTTTTGACTCTTACAGAAGATTAATTTTAATGGGCTCTCTATTTTTTACTACATGAAAATATTCTTTTGAAGTTTGTATAGAAGAGAAGGCTCAAGGGAGAGCTCATCAATGTATATAAATACCTGAAGTGAAGATATAAACAATGCGGAGTCAAGCTGTTTTCGGTGGTGACTAGTGCCAGGGCAAGAGGCAGCAGGCACAAACCGAAACACAGAGGGTTCCCTCTAAACACCAGGAAAAACTTATTCACTGCAAAGGTGTCTGGGCACTAGTACAGGTTGCCCAGAGATGTTGTAGAGTCTCATTCCTTGGAGATCTTCAAAAGCCACCTGGACAGCCTGCTTCTGTGTTGCAATTATTTTTGAGATGAAGACTGCCATCTACTGGGTTTACATTCCAAATTTCATGAATGATTTTAATATTAAATTGTATAACATTAGCACATTAAATACTGGTAGTTCTTCCTCAAACTACTAATGCTCAGAATTATAAAAATGATTTGTACCTTGTAAAATTTTCTTGCTTTCTCTTAAATGATCAAGACACTTGTGTAGTTTGTCTGATCAAGACACTTGTGTTTTTACTTATGTTTCCCAAATCTGGTACTGATACATAAACATAAAAACTAAGAAAATGTATTTTAATGTTTTCTTACTGAATAGAGATTAGTATAGTAGCCTTTCTAACTCTGAAATGATACTAGAAGACCTTGAGCTAGAGTATATCTCAAAGCATATTTTTTTTTTAGAATTGAGAGAAATGCAGAAGTTATTATGAAAAGATACATTTTAAATGTCCCAAATGTGCTTATTTTTATTATTGTTTTTTAATTAGGCAGCAGCGCTTGCAAGAATGGAAATGTCTTCAGAGGAGGCAAAAGTATGGGGAGCTAAGAGAAATTAGTGGACAACAATATGTAAAGGAAGTTACAAATGCTCCTGAGGATGTTTGGGTCATAATTCATCTTTATCGGACAAGGTAATTACTTTCTAGTATAAGGTATTAATTACTTCAAAACAGAGAATTCAGCTGGTAATTAAAAAGCAATACCAAGAAAAATGAAATATGATAGACTATTGAAACAGCAATTGTTTGGAGGCAGTGGAATCATAGAGCATGGGACCTTCTTGATTTGCTAATTCACTTTAATTAGTTTGCCTTTGATATTTTATATTAAAGATTTCTTTTGCTGTGTATGCTTCTGTGCTGTGTGCTCATGTACTGAATCTCACCGAGATTTCTGAATTTCACTGAGAAACTGTTGTTGACTGTCTAGGCAAAAACAAGTGCCTTTGAAGACTCATTGCTCAACAGGAGTCCTTTAACAGATTTTTTTTCTACCTTTATTTCTCCTTTAACAAGTAAAAAGCCCAGCAGGGAAAGTCTCAACTCCGAAAATCAAGGGCTGCCAAGGGAGTTTGTTAGCTTATTGGTTCACCTATATTGGTTCTCTAATGGTAATGGGAGTTGTGGCAGAATCCAACAGAAATGTCAAACTGCCATGATTAGCCCACATATGTTAGCAACTCTTGCATGTTTTTCAAAAGCAATCAGAATTAATATGGAATGTTTCATGCTGTTTAAATTCAGACTTTGTCTTTTCCATCCTTTTAAGCATGTGAGGAGGAAGTTTCTTTAATTGTTTTGAATTGTCGGGAATCAAGCATTTTTTCCAGGAGGAAGGAGTAGGTCAATCAAATGAAATTATTGAAATCACAGTAATTTAACTTTACGGACCTGAAAGAAAACTGCAAGTTTTCTTCCTTTTCACTGTTTTTGTTTACTGGAGAATCAGTTCTGTACTTGATCAATATGTAGATACGAGTCTGTGAGAAACCTCATAATTGCTTAGGAATGAATACCAGATCTCTGAAGTCCCTTATGGCGAGTGAGGAAACAAATCCTGTTCCAGAACTGTAACCTCACCTGTCTTTGGCCACCAGAGGGTGCTGGTGGAGCTCTCTGACAGTTTATAGGTTAAATCCTCTTGAACTTCAGTCTCAACAAAAATCTGAACGTCGCAAAGGTTAACGGACAAGAGGGGAACAAACCACGAATATTGTTGTTTTTACAGAGGCTTATATGGTGATTGCGCTGCAAATACTAGCTATGAATGTAATGAACAGGCCTATGGTGGTAATATGACTATACAGAGATTTCCCTGACACTATTTAGATTTTACTAAAAGAATGAAGAGGTAATTCAGTGTTAAAATCAACATCTATTCAAATAAATTCAAGTGAAGTGAGATCTAAAGTCTCTTTTAAACTCTACAATAAATGGACAAAATGAGCTTTAAAGTCTTAGATAACAGAATTGAGGTACAATGCTTGCTTGAGTCATCCGGTCGCTTTAATGACATGCTTCATAAACTGTGCCTATTATATGCATTGACAGCTTTTATTTGGACAGTTCTTTAAATCAAATGATCTTAGAAGAAGCTACATAAAATCTGTGGTGCAAAACTCATTACAAATTAAAGTAGAAACAGAATAAATGGAGAGGTACATTTATTCTTCAAAGGCTCTATTTTAAATAACATTAGTTCTACAAGTCATGTATACTGGAAATATGATCATACTCTCTTCTCCTTTCCTAGCATCCCAATGTGTTTACTAGTTAATGAACATCTCAGCCAACTAGCCAGAAAGTTTCCAGAAGCCAAGTTTGTCAAAGCCATTGTGAACAGCTGCATTGAGGACTACCATGACACATGTTTACCCACAATACTCGTATATAAATCCGGTGAAATAAAAGGCAGATTCATAGGAGTAGCTGAATGTGGGGGGATATATCTTAAAGTGGAAGGTAAGAGAAATGCTTTTGAATAATTCACTTTATAGAAAAGTTTATGCTGTTTGCAATCATAAGATCTAAAAATCGCTGCTTAAAGATAAGAGAATTTTAAATAATTTTGTAGAAAAAAAGACACAAAAATAAAAGAATGACTTGTGTTATGCTACAGTGATAAGAATATATAGTAAGCAAAGATATTTTGCAGTTTCAGTTTAGATGTTTTACTGGGATAAAGCTGGGTTGTCCAAGGCTCTGTTTTTCTTGTTGAGATGGAGCTTGATATTTAATAAAAATTCTGTTTTCCTTAACTGAGAATTTATAGCAATTATCAGCATAAATTGTCATTTGCTATTACAGAGCTTGAATGGAAACTAGCAGAGGTTGGAGCAATTGAAACTGACTTAGAAGAAAACCCCAAAAAGGAAACTATAAATATGATGACATTATCAAAGCAAAATACTTCTGCTCATGAAAACACCAATACAAAAAGCAGCGATGTGCTGAAACCACATATTACTTGAGGAGAAATCTTTAATGCGGATAATCTGTTCCAACTTAAACTAGCTCAAATACAGCTTTTGAATTCCTCTAGTAAACCTGAAACAATAAAAGAGCGTTTCTTCCACTTGTGTATATTTGTGATCTTTAGAAAAAAACTAATGTAGTAAACAAAAGCCCTACTTATCCTCTGGAAATACAGAAATGGCTCATATTGACAAGAGAACCTGGATTCTTCTTTTTATACAACCTGCTTAAATGGAAAAGGAAGGGGAGGTATTAGCTGGGGAGCTGTGATCCATACTTTCTTTCTTATTTTATCCAGCAAGTTTCACACCTGTAATTCTCAGTGAAATGGGTGTAGCGGGACTCTGCTCTAATAAATATTTTAGTTCCTGCCATTGGAAAGCTGACCTGAAAAGAATGTGTATGGTGATATGAAAACAGGATTTAGTCCTGAATCTATTGACTAATACTTTTGCTTGTTTGACATGTATACATGCATTTTCTCCAGTGTCAAGGATAATCTCCCCACTCGTTTCTAATGCTGGTGGCTGGATCAGTTGTTCCTTCCCAACAAAAATAAGCACATCCCTAGCAAAACAGTTTAGAGTCCATGTGTATATAAGCCCAACAAAACTACACAAGTGAATGAAGAGATCGCACTCCTGATTCAGCATTTTTATTCATTATGAGTAGTGAATCAAATTGCATAGTATTTATGTTATTTTTCCAGTGATTTGACTAAAAAAAAAAATTAATGTGTAAAAAAGTTTTAACGTGCTGATGAAGATTATACACACTTGACATGGTTTACTGCATCAGGATGAAGAAACTAAACAGAAATGGTTCACTTAACACTTGGCACTTAGATAGCTAAGGAAAACAAGAAAATGAACATTAGCTTATTTTTTTTTTTAACCATGAGTATAAAGTAGATATGTACTGACAGACAGGTGTACTAGAAACTTTTATTTTGTGGATTCAAAGAGAACTGGTAGATGTACTTCAGAGTTAATAGCTCATCTGCCACTTAAAATTAGAAGGCTAACTAGTATGAGTTTTAAATGTAAATAGGTCATCAGTGACTTGGGATACAACTTCCCCATTGCTTCAGGTGTTTCTGTGAAAGGGGCACTACCACCCACTTGCTCTTTGCAGCAAACCTCCTTCCTGCCATTGTGGCTGCAGTGCAGGAGCACAAGCCCAACACTCACTGCTTATAGTTTGAAAATGTCTGAACATTATGTTGCCCCCCAAGGAACCATTGGAGGGAACTCACATTGACAGTAAGATTCAAGAACACAGGATTAGTACAAGGAAATAATTTCACCAAACTACTATTCCATTTCCAAGCTTTCTGTCCTGTTCTTTCAGAAGCCCTTAAAGTACTTTAAAAAGAGAAGATGCATTAAAAAAACATTGCCTCAGTTAGGCTATAACCTTGGCACAAACACAGGTGTATGTGAACTGCCCATGTGTGTTGCCTGCTTTGATCTTGACAGATCCCAAAAGGTAAGGGATTTGCAAGCTTCCAAGAGCAATTTGGTACTGCAGCACTGCAGAAGGCTGGTGTTGCTCTCCCATGCATACAAGGTATACTTTGAGTCAGGAGATAACGCTATCGTATCTCTGCTGTGTTTGTCTGAAAAATTACTACTGGTGACTAAAGATCCTGTGGCAAATTATATACATACAGCTTGATGCTAATTTTAGCCTCTGGGTTTCTTGGCCACATTCCATTCCTAGCAATTATGTATTTTTGTTGAAAATGTTTCTGCATTTTCTCCTTTGAGCTTCCATCCCTGCTGTGTTATCATTACTGCATTTCATCATAGGAGCATTACTCCTTTCCCTAAGTAATTACATGATTAGCTTTGCTTATATCAATATTCCTCAACTGAAGGCTATTAAGGCTATTATTATTAGGGTATTATATATCAGTAAATATCAAAGCTCAAGTGTTTTTTTACTAATGCTTTTCACAGTTTTTCTGTCAGAAAAAGATCTGGCTCACAGTTAGTTCTTTGGCAGCATTACTGCTAAAAAAAGGTTCATGTCCCCACGCTACCTTTGTGTATGGTCACAAGGTGAATCAAACTGGGAAACTGAGCTACCTGAAAAGTAACCCATAAAGGAAGATCTAGGAGATTTTTGCAGCCAAATCGAGTTCTTACTTCATTCTAGACACAAACACAAGTTATACTTCTATAGATACATATTAGTAATTATAGTTTTAGGTGTATCACTGGAAGACCAATTGAAAAATAAACATTCTTGGAACTGAGAAAAATGGGAATAGCTACATACTTCTGCCACTAAGCGATGTTTTATTGTACAGAAGGCAGTTAGTTATGCATGCAGAACAGGTTTATGCTAGAATAACCACTGCACATTTTAAGCATCCTGCAGTCCCACAGCAGGCAGTATGGGATACCGCCTGGAACATGGTGCAGCTATACGTAAAGCCTGTGTAGTATCAGCTAGTTATCTGTTTGATTAACTGTGGCACTGTTTGCATTTATCGGCTGGATGGTGTTTCACAACTTAGCCTGCGAAGTCTGTAAGACAGCCGCATCTCGCAGCTTTTATACGCTTTTAAAACACACACGCACACAAAGCCAGGGATGCCAACTTTTATTAACAGACCCTCCTGCACTCTATTTTCCTGTGTGTATCTTCCCAGCGGCCACCACCAGGTGTTCCCGCCGTGCCCCCCCTCCCTCCCCGCCCGCCATTTTCCCCTCCCTGAGGTGAGCCGGGGCGAGGTGAGCCCAGGTCAGGGCCCCGCGGCTCGCACCGCGCCTGCGCGCCGCGCTCCGCTCCCCCCCCCACTCCCAGCGGGCCTGCGCGGGATCCCCATTCCCCACACCCTCTCCCCCCCCCTCCCTCCGCGCATGCGCAGGCGGCGGGCCGTGAGGCGGGGGGAGCGCTGCGGCTGGCGGTGCGCGGCGGCGCAGGCGCAGTGAGGGCAGTGGCGGGCCCGGCGGCTGCGGCGGGTGGAGGAGGAGGAGGAGGAAGGAGAAGGGAGGAGGAAGAGGAGGGCGAGGAGCGGCAGCCCGGTAGGTGAGGGGCCGTCAGGGGCCGTCAGGGCGGCCCCGGGGGCGGTGTGGCGCGGGGGGCAGCGCTAGGCCCGGTGACCCACTTTGCTCCCGGCACGGCGCCCCCAGCGGGCCTCAGGGGGCGGCGGGGCCGCGCCTCAGGTGCGAGCGGAGGGAAACGGCCTCGGCCGCCCCTCACCGGCCCTGCTCGCCCGAACGGCCTCAAAACCCGGCTGTTGGCGCATAAAACAGCCCGGCTGAGGGGAGCAGGCGAGCCGAGGGGCAGGTCCAGCCGCCAGGTGGAGCGGCAGCCCCCAGCCCCAGGCAGTGAGGGGCTGGCCGGTGGGCGCCGTGACAGGGCTGCCTCAGGGGGCACCGCTGGCTGGGGCAGGCCCGGTGCTCCCTGAGCTCACCTCGTTGCTGCCCCCCCCCCTCCCCCCCTCAGCTGTGCCAGCACAGCGGTTCGTGGAACCGTGTCCCGTAACTAGGTTAGGGAAGTGATCCAGGTTAAAATTAACTACCTTTTTTTTTTTTTTTTTTTTTTTTTTTCTAATATGGGGTTATATTTAACCTGGATCGTTGCTCTGCGTGACAGGTGTGCCAGAAGGCAAGAGGGATTGTTTAAGCAAACACGCCGGTGGAAGAAATGCTTGGGAAACGCACCTCGACTCTGGTAGTCCTGGCAAAGTGCAGTGTGAGCAGCTGTGCCGCTCTCTTCAGTCACACAGGAACAAAATTGATAACATCTATGAATATTTAGGGTTTGGAGGCTGTTATTTTAGACAGTATCTGGTTGTTACAATAGAGGGATTTTATTTGACAGGACAAGATACTTTGCAATTTATTTGTTTTTGAAGAAGCTACCAATTTTCATATATATATATATATATATATATATATATATATATATATCCATTTAAGATACTTTCTCAAAATCATTGAAGACTTTGTTTTCAGATATACCAAATAACTAAATGTTTGTGTTCGTGTTTTTTGTGTGGACCTGGGTGTTAGTGCCTTTAAGGGATAAGACTTCTGGTGTTAGGGTAAGAGTTACCTCTTTCTAAGAAATGGTCCTAGTGGCAAAAAATAACCCCCAAGTTGATACAATAGTTTAAGATCTCTTTCAGGTGTGTCTTTTTTTTTTTTGTTCGTTTTTTCTGTTTCGTGTTCTTACATTAAAAAGTTTAACATATATAGGTAAAATAAAAGGATGTGAGGAAAACTATAAGTGTTTTTTTTATTAATGCCTAAAGGAGCCTGTAAACCCTGTTTTCCACTTCTTATTCTCAACAATTTAAAAACTGAGTGGTAATTGCTTTTAATTTGTAGTAGTGTTGGCTAATTATCTTATTAGTATAGAATTTAATTTAAATCTTCATAGCTTGGTCTTCTCAGGAAAATTGTTGCTTCCAAGAAGTCTAAGCTTTTGCTGTTTTCTAGACAAAAAGTTGAAGATGCGTATTAGCAATAGAGATACCAATTACCCCCTGCCTCCCAGCATGTTCCTTATATGAAATGATTGTATCAACTTGAAAGGCTTTGCATTTTTTGGTAAACAACATTTCCCCCCCCCCCCGGTGTAATTTCATGTGTTTGAAAACAGCCTCTTTAGCTATGTACCCTTTGGGGGAGAGATGCATGGTTTGCTGTCTGGAGCCTTATAGCCTCTGTGTAATTTTGTAATTTGAAGAATAGGGATATTCCCTCTCTTAGAATATAAAATCAGTACCCTAGTATGTTTTTAATGCAAACCACACTATGTATGTATGAAGAAGTGGGGTCATAGCTAAGGTGGCTTCATTTTCGGCACATTGCAATGAGTTAGTTTTTCTTGAGTAGAAGACTGGTAAATGTTTGAAGAGGTAAAAAGTAAAGAAGAGTGCATTTTTGCATTTCAGTCTTTTTAAAGTACTCATTTCTGTATGAACACTAGAAATTGCAAAGGCCACGTGATAAAGCAGATCTAGAAGTGTTTCCTTGGTTAGATGGGA